TGATACTCAAATCTGTACTATGTAAGTCTTGAGCCACACTAGTTAAAATCAGATCAAACATGACAATACCTCAATTGACCAAATAATACTAGACTACACATAAGCAGACCAAATCAAACTTAAATAATACTTGCCCGTCCAGCTTAAAGGTTCCCATTGCGAAATGACATGATTATTTAGACAATAATTAAATAAGATCATTCGAGTATGTAACTTTTTTATTTTTCTTCTTTATCCATTTATCTATCGTTTCACTCTACTTTTTGTAGACACACCTTACTTTTTCTAACTTTTTTGACAGATAGAATTGTAAAATTATTATTTTATCATTAATTTTCTTAAAAATTGCCCCAAATCCTCATGTATCTTAATATCTTATATTAGAAATACTTACAAAACTATGACTAAAATAATTACAAAAATTGTAGCCTCTTAAATATAGCGATTATAGTAGTAAATTAATCATAGTAAGGTATGTTCAACATTTACACTTAAATTACCATGACAATATACTAACAGTAACTCTAATCTTATTTTTGTAAATAAGTTTTATTTTAATAAAATTGTCCAAAACAAGACCCACATTCAAAGTGACCAAATCTGAATCAGACAGGATAAACCAAAGTAACATATGAAACGGACGAGTTGAGACCAGAAGTGGGAGTACCTTCATGAAAGCGCACGAGCCGGCTAGGTTGCTCAAGATACTGGGTGAACCATTCTGCCGCTTCATCTCCCTCGTCCAAGGCGGCGCCGGTCCACCCCCACACCGAGACACCATCGGATAAAGTAGAAGGCTCAATTAATGGGACCTTCAGGACATTCATTCCAGAAGCCCTTACCTCTGTTCAATTTTATAATGGACCGGAAAATAGCTCATCACTAATCAATAATTGAAAACTCAAGAGGAATAATCAAACATTAAATCCATGAGTTTCAATGCATCGGATAACCTACCGAGAAACGAGCCGCGATGGGGTTCCCAATCTTCCCGAAATGCCTCAGGAGGTAGAGCCACTTCAACCAGAGCAAGCTTGGGGTGGACTCTCTGAGTACATGCTCTGCCGCTTGAATTCACCACCATCCATAGCCGATCCCACCGGAACCCTAAACGTACCATTATTAGCGGCGGAGGAAATCGAGAATCGGAAATATTTCATTTACTGATTTAATACCAGTGGGAGTGACGGGAGCTTGGGAAACAGAAATCCAACGGCATGACTTGATTGGGAAAATCCAGATGGACTCCACTTTTGCGGCTTCTTCAAGTTCTTCTTCGATAGCTTCTTCCTTCCATAGAAGTCTGCTGAATAGGCTAGTGATGCTCATGGTTGAGTAAGTTGATTGAATTGTCTAATGTCTTTCTTCTTCTTCTTTTTCTACTAGCCAAAAAATTGATTGGCAATTCACATATCTCAGAGGTCAGGGTGTAAAACCCCAGAGAGTGTTTTTTCATCCTCAAATGGCCCACGTGCAGAGTGCATAGTCAAAAGTCACGGAGGCGTAGAGAACAATCTCAACTCGACTAGCAGCGCGTCATTAAGGGTTAATTTGCAATTCCTTTTAAAAAAGCACTTCTCAGCTTTTGGCTTTAAAAAAGTACTTATTTTCCCAAACACTACAACTTTTATTTTTCTCGTCTTCCGCGTCAAAAGTGCTTTTACTTTTTCTATTACACAAAAAGCACTTATTTTACCAAACACTACCCACTTTTACTTTTCAAAATCACTTTTTTTCTCAAACACTATCAACTTTTATTTAATCACTTCTCCCCATTTCATTAAAAAAAACACTTTTTTAAAAGCAGAAGCTGTTGCAAACAGACCCTAACACGCGTGCCCTCTTGCCAGCAAAAAAGTCCCAAAAAAGTCCTGCAACTCCCATGCAATGGGTGCATTGGAAATAATGTGGCAATTAAATGGAAATAGTCGATTATGTACCACTATTTTAAATAAAATTCATCAAATTTAAGATGTGTTTGGAATTAAATTGATAAAATATGAAAACAATATTTATATAAAAAATTATAAGTATGGTTGATAAAGGTATTGAATATTTCATAACATCTAACAATACTATGTATTTTATTAGTGTAATAATACCGTGCAATACAAAATAGCTGTTATTATGATTACAAATTAATAATCAATAAATGTCCTCCGTAGTATATTGTGTTAGGCTTATAATCTTATGAGTGTCTACTATAAATACGTTAAATGAATGTAAGGATGTTTATACTTGGACTGTAATTTGTCCCAGACCAGACCAGACCAGATCAGTCCAGACCAGACCAGACCAGTTCAGACCAGACCAGACCAGACCAGACCAGACTTGGATAGTTATAAAAATACAAAGAAACCAGACCTTACCAGACCAGACCAGACCAGATCAGACCAGACCAGACCAGACCAGCAAATTACAGTCCAAGTAAAAACATCCTAAGTCAACACCAACTAAGTGGTTCAGTTGGTTCCTGTTGCGCGTGGTCATGAAGAAATCCAGGGTTCGAAATAGTCATGGACCAGGCACGGGTCGGGCCTAGGCCCAGCCCGGCTTTTGAGGGTTGGGGAAAGGCCCGGAACCGGCCCAGGTTTCCACCGGGTACGGGCTGGGCCGGTTTAATTTTTTTTTTTTTGCTTTTCTAACTACCCCTGACCCTCCCCCTGACCCCCACCCCCCCAACCCCCAACCCCCCCCAAAACACCCAGCCCCACCCGGTTGGAACCGAAAAAAATTGAAAAAACAAAAAAAAAAAATAGTTTAGACCCAAACAAGACCCCGGCCGGGCCGGGCCGGTTCGCATTTCACATAGCTTATACCCGCCCCGGTTACCCCCACAAACCGGGCCTAGACCCAGAACCGGTACCCGGTTCCCGAGCCGGGCCCACACAGTGCCGGGCCATGCCGGTTCTCGGGCCCGGGTGGCCCGCACCGAGTCCAAGCCTAGTTCGAAACCCCCCTAGAGATTAAGGTCTTTAGGATGGGGTTTCCGGGTTTGACCAAAGTACTGGTTCTTCCAAGTAATTACCAGTCCGGGTCCCGTCCGGGTTTGGGCGGGCGGGCGGTTATTTCCGGTTTTAGGGAGTGTTTGCATGGGCTTAAAAAAGCACTTTGTGGCTTTTAACTTAAAAAAAGCAGAAAATGGTGTTTGTAACTAACAACTTCTAATTAAAAAAAGCACTTTAAAGCTAAAAGTTGTAAGCTGGTATATACCAACTTCTAAGTGCTTCTAGGTATTTATGTAAAAAAACCAAACTTTGAGGATGATTATAATGAACAATTTATCTAGCTCACCCCAAGATACCCTTTATTCCTTTCGTATCTCTCCAACTTCTCGTAACCTCTTTCGCCATTGTTGAAAAACCTGCTCAAGAACATAAACAAGAAAAAATGACTTTTGCGATTTCCAACTTCTCGTAACCCCTTTGGCATGTGCTTTTGCGGATTTCCAAGGTCTTCAACAATATTAGATATTAATTCTTTAAAAAAAAACTACATATATTATATACGTATATAGCAATGAAAATCGAGGGAGATGCCAATCGCAGGGGAGATTTGCAAGGACATCAAAAGACTGGCTTGCACCGTCATCTAAGGGTTTCTTCATGAAATTTCGGAACTTCAATTTGAAAGGTGATAACAGAGTACTCCGTTTTTTTAATTTAATAAATACTTAAGGGTATTATTGTACTTCAACAAAATATTACATCTAAAATCACTTTTTTATCAAATACTCCAACTTTTACATTTTAACTAAAATCACTTCTATTCCCAAACACTACCTACTTTCACTATAAATCACTTTTTCAATAATCTCTTAAAAAAATCACTTTTAAAAAGCACAAGCAATCGCAAACACTCCCTTAGGCTTGTTTGCAGGTTTACCCTCAACCAGACCGGTCATTGGGCCGGGTTCCGGGTCCAACCGCCCGGTCCTGTCCGGTTCTCTTAACACAGATCTGAAGAGCCAATTTAAGAAAACCACAAAAAAACAAAGGGAGAACAGTTTATTAATGGCAAATCTGAAGTCATACTACATGTAAAATGGATCTCATTTATTAGTCAAAGGTATTGAAGTTCAAAACACAACATCTTCATAGGAGGACAGCTTCTTTAGGACATAAACTGGATCTCCCACTTTAATTGTTTTACTTTTAGCTTTAGCATTGTGATCGTCACAAATAAACCAGTGTCCGAAATATACCTGCATATAGGCAAATAATATGAGTGAAAACTTTTAAAACTCTGAGGAATATAGTTCAATAATGAGTGAAAACTGTTGAAACTTTGAGGAGTGATTTAGAATCTTATACATAGTACTAACTACTATCGTATAATGATTTATTACATTACACGCAGTATTAATCTAGGGCGTGTAAGGACAAATAATTCAACAAAACCGGAGTATAACACTTTAGGAATTGATTTGTTGAATACCAAATGCATTTTACTTCAAATTCAATAGTATTAAGTACATAATTCAAATGCAAGTGAATTCTCGAAAATTCCAAAAATATGATTGTTATGTTTGATTCCTAATTACTGCCAAACTTGAAAAATACCGCTAAATTTAAAATTTGCTACTACCAAAACATGTCAGTAATTACTCATATATTTAGAGAATAAAAACGTAGTAGTCCTAATTTGGAATACATAAACGTTTTAGTGGATAATTTCCCAAATAATAGGGGGGGAGGGGGGTTGTAGAATCTCTAACCTTTCCATCTGATTTTTTATCTGGATTCAAGATCTCGGTTGAGCGGAATTTTCTCATTGTTTGAGTTGGCTCTGAGCCAAGTTCTGCCGTTTCTTGATTAATTCTGGGTACCTGATCAACAATTTCACTCAAGTTTATACTATGAGATCACAAAAAAGTCCAATATCAAAGGCAGGAATAATTACCTTACAACGTTCACAAAGTTGTGTAGAGTTAAATTTTAATCCGTTTATCTTGACCTTTTTCCATAGATCTTCAGCAAATGATGCACATCCATTAACGACAATGCTGCATGCAACTTCAAAAATGAGTTTTTAAAAACTAATCCAATTTCTATGGTACAAAAAAGTTCCGTTTGATCAAAACAAGTAATTTTCAAGCAATTCTCTCAATGAGATAAAAAATGAATTTGGCAGTAAAAGAGTTCAGAATTAACTAACATGATGAATTTGCATTTTATTTTATCATCATGAATTTGCATATGAAATCGGGACTAAAAAGATGAAAATACAAAATGAGATAAAAAATACTCCGTACGGAGTAAGATAAGATAAAAAAATATTAAAAAGTAGGAGTATGAGAAAGACAAACAAGATAAAAGGGAAAGTTCCCGAAATAGGACAAACAGTTTGAAAATTTCAAAATAGAACTGTGTGTCATGTATTTTATTCCCAAAATACGAGTAATTACTGCAAGTTTGGAAAATACTGCCATGTTTGAAGTCTGGTACTGCCAAAACATGACAGTAATTAGTCCTATTTTGAGAATAAAAATATGGCGGTCCTATTTTGGAATTTTGAAACCTTTTTAGTCCTATTTCGGGTAATATTCTCAAGATGAAAAGATAAAGAACATACGAAATAAGAAAGAAAAAAAATAAAATAAAAAAGTAGCACATTACTCTTTACTTTTGCAATAAATATATGTTTGAGTCTTCCTTTACCGCTTATTCCCCATTTTCTCCCCCACCTCTCTATTGGCAAACAAGTGCACACAACATTTTATGCATAATAACATATAAATTAAAAATATAAATTAAATTTTGAGACACTTTTCGTATCTAGAGTACCTTCTACAAAGAATCGTTATTTTAATAAATTGTACTATAAAATTGAAAATTTGAATTTCAGAAGTTTTACTTGGGTCTAAATCTAGTGATCTGCACAGGCTCCTCTAACCGCTCATTCAAAGCATCAAGTGATTCCTGGAAACAAATATAATGAAGAACCCAAAAGAAAAATAGTTATCAGAATCGTAGTTAAGTAAAAAAAAAAAGAAAGAAAAAAACATCACGATTTGGTACCAGATTCTCTGACCTGGGATGCTAGAAGAAGCGCATAGGCATCTTGGAACTTAAGTTTGTGGCCCGCAGCATATTTGGGGAATGCAGGCCGATTCTGTGATGCTGTCCGTAAACAAAAGGAGAGTGATATTTCAATTAGATGTCCTTAGAGAGTTAGATGTGATCATGTGACTGATAAAATTAATGGAAGCCATTATGGGAACTCAATATCAAACTTTTAAGAATTCATACCAATTGTTAGACCATTTGAGAATTTATATCAATTATGGGTGAACAAAAACACTGAAAAATCGAAACTGACCGACAAACCGACCGAAACCGAACCGACCAAAACCAAAATTGACTCAAACAGAGACCGTCCAAAACCGATTAATCATTGTCAATTCGATTTACGGTTTCACCTTTTGGGTTAAAAAGCCGACCGACATAAACCGACAAAACATGCTAAACCAACCGAAATCGACACAAACCGACCAAAATTAATCAAACTGAAACCGAACCGAAACCGACTCAAGTAGTGTGGTTCGTTTCACGGTTTCATCTTGTCTAAAACCGAAACCGACCAAACCGATAACCTACCAAACCGAACCGACGAACACCGCTAGATCTTTACTCCAATTAAAGACAATTACTTTTATAGAATTTATTATACTATTTTCACATGAACAGAATAGTTTTACTCCCATTGAAGGCAAGCAATTACTTTTATAGAATTTATACTATTTTCACATGGACAAAACATATACAAAAACTAAGCATTCCAGCTCAGCTGGTTGTGAGCTTACCGTGCCTAGTGAAAGTTCTCGAGCTTGAAACCCGCTAGACACATAAGGGTTCGAAACCCAATGAAGTGAGTTTCAGCCCTAATTAGTTCTTATATGATGAACAAAAATGTGATACCAAAATAGATATATTAATACGAAGTAACTTTTGGAGCAGGTTTGGTAATACCAAAATAGGCTGAATCGGCTGACTCTGCTGAAATGTATGAAATTCTAGCTGAAGTGACTGAATTGGCTGATTCGTATATTTAAAATATATTTTATTAATAAAATAAAGAAAAAGTTAAATGTAAAAATAGTTAAAATGGTCTTCTACACTAACTTCAGCCAATACAGTCAGAAAAATAACTCCAATCTTACTATTTCTTGTTATAACATAATTCAGCGTGAGAAATCAAATATTACATGTTGAAAAAGTTGGCCGATAAGTCTCATAAATCGAAAAACTGAGCTACCAAACGAGCACTTAATGATTATGATTATTTCAGTTATTTCATTTTTACATTTAAAAAATGGCACATAGTAAATTTAGTCATACTTTTATCCATGAATTTTGTTTGAACAAAATATTGTAGAAAATTAAAACCTCTACAATATTTTATTTAGTTCATTTTAATATATGAACAACTTGGACTTACATTTATGATATGATTTAGGTGACAAATCCGGTACTCATTTAAAAAATGAGTTACTGTACATATCATTTACTTTATTGGTGCACATCATTATATCATTTTATGTCCCCAACCACACACATCTTCAATAACAGTCCAAACAATAATAAAAAATAGAGTGAGATGCCAAATTGCCAATATGCCATCTAGAGTGCGTACCTTCGTGAAAGCGCACTAGCCTTCGAGGTTGGCCAAGAAACTTGGTGAACCACTCCGCGGCTTCCTCCCCCTCGTCCAAGGCAGCGCCAGTCCATCCCCACAGGCCCACACCATCAGTCAAAGTCGAAGGTTCAAGCAATGGCACCTTCAGAACATTCATTCCAGGAGCCCTTACCTCTATTGAATAGATCGACCTAATCATTAATCCTTCCCCAAATGTCTTTCTAGTGAAGTACATTTTACTGGAATATGAACTTTAACCTACCAAACATTTTGAGGAGATCGACTCTGGAGTCATATATAGTATTGTGGCACGGTGGTGTCATCACTATCACCCATTTTTTAACCTATTATATGTATGGAGTAATTTTTAGACTATTCCACTTATATTTAAGGGAAACACTATTTTCCAAGTCAATGATGTTAAAACTTTCACGGATTATATACTTATACACAGTGGCGGACCTAGTAATTACATTTTGGGTGTTCAGAATTACACATTTTCTCTTTAAAATACTATTAAACAAATTATTACTCTAATTCAGATATACATATTCCTATTGTTTTTTTTATTTTTGGGTGTTCATGTGAACACCCTTGCATAAAGGACATCCATCACTGCTTATACACGGTAATATTGATAATAAAAATATGATACTCCCTCTGTCCCAAAAAAGGTTCGCCAACTTTGACTTTCACGTGGATTAATAAAGTAAAAACTGTGTTGTTGAAATTTATGCAAAGGAGAGAGAATTAATTTTAGCCACATATTCTTTACTTTAAATAGAAATAGCGAATCTTTTTGGAACATCTAAAAAAAGAAATTTGGCAAACCTTTTCGGAACGGAGGGAGTACTACATATGAAAATGTTCTTTGTTAAAGATATTATCATAAAAGTATAAATTTATTAAATTTCACATAAATATATATTAAAATAATGGATCAAATGTTATCACCTTTGACTGAAAAAGTCAAAGTTGATTAAAAAAATAAAAATTACTTAGGGTCCATATATTAAAAGGCTCTAAAAAAAATGAGCCATGGGCGGGCTTAGACATGAGGTGGCTCGAAAATGTGTCACATAGTCAAAAGGTTTGGAAAAGACAAGAAAAATTTGGGAATAGATCATCAAAGACATGAATACGCTTAAAGGCATGAGCTAGGTGCGAAAGACGAAGCCAGGCAAAAATTCTTTGACAAAAGTTTTTTTACAAAGAAGTTGACCATATTTAAGAAAAAAACAATTATATAAATATGCTATATATAAAATTTAATACCACGCTGTAAAACCAATGACATATTTTTTTGTGTTTGCACTTTTTATACATTTAGATCCCGTTTGATAACACTGAAATCGGCTGAATTAATTGTTTATGTTGATATTCATGAAGTTCTAGCTAAAATGACTGATTCTGCTTATTTATGAAAAAGTTATATATAAAAGGGATATTACCCGAAATAGGACTAAAAAGGTTTCAAAATTCCTAAATAGGACTGACATGTTTTTATTCCCAAAATAGGACTAATTACTGCCATGTTTTGGCAGTACCAGACTTCAAACATGGCAGTATTTTCCAAACTTGACAGTAATTACTCCTATTTTGGGAATAAAAAACATGACAATCCTATTTTGGAATTTTCAAACTGTTTTAGTCCTATTTCGGGAACTTTCCCTATATAAAATACTCCCTCCGTCCTGCTAGAAGGTTCCCGTGAACGGTTCACGCTCTGATTATTTTTAGTAAATACTCAATTACTCTTACTTTTTCTACTTTTTATTTTCTGTTTCATACTTTTTCGTTATCCCTTTTACTTTTTCTACCCTATTCACTACTCCTACTATTTCAGTCTTAAAACATGTGTGGACACATATTGTAGCAAACAAAAAAAAATACGGAGGGAGTATCAAACTACCAATCCGATACTACGTAATTACTAGAAGAAAGGAGTACTAAACTCGGATATCCGAATCCCGGATTCAACACAACCTACCCAAAAACGAGTCCTTTCGGGCCTTCCAGCCGTGGCTGAATGCCTCCGGCGGGAGTTCCACCTGAACCAGAGCAAGCTTCGGGTCGACTCTTTGCGTAGCCCCTCTGCCGCTTGAGTTCACCACCAGCCATTGACGATCCCACCGGAAACCTAACCATACCAATACCAGCAGATGAAAAGACTAAAAAGATTCAGACAGATCAGATTCAGTAGGGTATATACATACCGGTGGAAGTGATGGAAGCTTCTGGAGGAGAAATAGAACGGCAGGATTTGATAGGGTATATGAAGATGGACTCCACTTTCGCTGCTTCTTCACCTTCTTCTTCTTCTACTTCTTCCTTCCATAGAAGAAGTCTGAGGAGTAGTTCCTTCCATAGGAGTCGGAGTAGGCTAATGATGCTCATTTTTCAGTAATTTGAATTGTTTTGTCTTTCTTCTTTTCTACTGCCTTCTTGCTGGCCGGCTGTATATATACGACGTATATAGATATAGCTTTGGGCCGTGTAATGATTAATTATTGTTTCATTTCCCTCCATTTGTTTATTATCAAAATATCAAGAAAAGCTGCACAAAAGATTGTAATCAATGACTGATGACCACTATGACCGTAGTGATTAAACTACTAGCTTATTCTTCTCTCCTAAGATTTTACAAGCCCGTTTGAAAATCTAAGTTCTGCCTGAAGTGATTTTATTGGCAGATTCTGTCGATTCAGGAAAAAAAAATTTTAAAATATATTTTATTAATAAAATAAAGAAAAAATTGTATGTAAAAATAGCTAAAATGATCATCTACAATAACTTCAACCAATACAGCCAGAAAAGTAACTTCAACCTAACTTTTTCTGCTTATTACACAATTCAGCGCGCGAAAGCAAATATTACATGTTTGGTGAAAAAGTTGGCTGATAAGCCTGATAAGCCGAAAAACAGTGTCGCCAAACGGCATCCAAATTTGAGTGGTACTTAAAATGAAAAAATGCTATTTGTACGCACCAAATTGTACACAATATTATACATGACAATCTAATTGTCTGTACACAACAAGTTGATTTTTGTCACAAACATTTTTTTCGTCGGTGCAATTTGACTGCGTGTAAAATGTTGTGTACAACTTCATGTGTACACGGAGCATGATTGCAAAAAATAATAAAGTAAAAACGGTGTGACTGAAATTTGTGTAAACGATTGAAATATAGCAAAAATAAGAATGACAAAAGTTGCAAAGATTTTTGAAGTGTACTAAAAAGAAAGATGTCAAAATTTTTAGGAATAGGGAGTACTCTATATTTTTAAGAAATGCGGAGTATCACTTTTCTACGTATTTGTTTTCATTATTATATACGACTTTGAAAAAATATATCCATATTAGATTATCTCACATACATATATGAGAAATGGACAATACAAATATAGGGGCCGTTTGGAACCAGCTGGATCGGCTGGATCGGCTGGATCGGCTGGATCGGCTGGATCTGGCTGAAAAGCCTGAAAAGACTGAATCTGCTGAAGTGAAAGTGTTTGGTAATATATTGGCTGAAATGACTGATTGAATGTAAAATTACCGTTAAGGGTATTTTGTTAAAGATATGGTGTGCACTTTTGAAGAGTGATAAACATGATCTTAATACCTTCTCCGTATATAACTATACTCCGTATTAGATTATCTACTTCAGGGTGTGTTTTAACTTTAAAGCATTTCTATGAATTTAACAAGGTTATCATCGAATCAGGGTGATATATATCTTCTCAAGCTCACACAACCGCATCTTATCCATTTAAAAAAATACTCTGCAACTATTCTCCTAGGCAGTAATAGTAGACACCTTGATCAAAGGGAATTTAAATAACTTCCATCACCAAGCAATTCAAAGTAATTTATGCTAGAAATTACTGAAACTATAAAACTTCATAATTAAATTCAGAGTAATGTAATTTAATAAATCAGTATCCTTCGAATGAGAGGAGTCTAAGGGGACGCGCAGAGTTTCAGTAATTTCCTCCTTCATAGTTGGTTTCTTGAAATCCCGGGGACAGAGATTCACCGCCGCCGTATACGTGTTCATCGCCAAGGATGACGCCAACGGGTTTGAATCTCACTGTCCTTTTCGCCCCGGTCCTGCTCATCTTCGGAAGCAAGAATTGAGGGCCGCAACAATTGAGGAAGAAGATAGAGGCCAGGTCAACCTTTAGATCTGGACAAAAGTATGCGCTGCCGCGGAGGTTCTCGTCGCTAGGACAAGTAAAGAAGATGCGATAATAAAAGGGTAAACATGTACTTTACGTTGGCAACGGATATATTGATAACTTTCAGGTCAAAAAGTAGCTCCATGGTTACTTTTTTGACTGATAAGAAAAAACAGCCCAAACAGCCCATTTGACATGTGTTTGGCTTTAATTTTGTATTTTCAGGCTTTTCAGCCCAAAATCAGGACCCCATAATGTAAGAGTGTTCGAGAAGCTGAGGGTAAATTTATGATGTATGTGAGATCATCTAATATGGATACATTGGGACAATACAAATACAAATATAAATACTCCCCCGTAACAAAATAAATCTCCTCACTTTCCTTTTTCGTCCGAGACAAAAAAATCTTCTCACTTTTAAATCTTCCCATCATATCTCAATAATTCTGAAAATAATACACTATTATAACTACTTTTTTGGATTTATCTTACATTCCATCACATTATTCAACTATATTTCTATCATACCCTCAATAATTCATATCATCTTTCACTCCTCTTAATTTACCTACTTTTAAAATGGGAAGATTTTTAAGTTAACTAGGTATGATGGAGAGTATTCGAGAAATGGACGATACATCGGGATAATGACATAATGTAAGAGTATTCGAGAAGCTGAGGGTAAATTACATTACAATATTTTGTGAAAATTGTAAATGAGGAAGATAATTACGAAAAGGGAAAGAGTACATTGGAAGTTGATGAAAACCAATGCAAAACAGGAAAGAATTGCGGAAAAGGACAAATTTAAAAGGTTACATGGCCGCGCACTATAATGCTGAGACAAAGACTACCGTACATAGTACACCATTAGCGACCGACATCGGAGCCTCTACCTTACTTTAGAATAAAGTAGAGTGTCTTACTTCCTTCCGGTCGTTCGATCGACAATTCAACGGTCGGAGATCTTGGTTCCACTTTGTTCGCTAATCTTGAGGCCGTGTTGGCCGCTCCCCTCCCGTCCGATGCGCAAGGCACCCTCCTAGTCGGGCAGAGAATCCCAATCCTGTTAGCCTGAAGTACTATTTGCAGAAAGAAATCAAGAGTTGCAATCAAATCTGATAAAGACTGAAGTAATAATACAGCAACATTTATTTTTCAGCACCTTCGTTTCAGGATTTTTGGTGTTGTGGCCCCTTCTTCTACTCCTATATAAAGGACCATTTGAGAACTCCGGAAAGACACCAATTCGGAGAGAAATCTCCTTTTCTTCTTTCTTTAGCTTTGTTCATAGTAGTAGTATAATAAAAGTGATTCTTCTTTCAAGAACACTTTCTGTATAAAATTCAGTTTGTAATTCTCAGTTCCAGAATTTTAGTTTGTGATATTTTGATTATAAAGTTCATTCAAGACTTCATTGTTTGGTTCAATTGATCAGTTCTGGCTGAATTTTAGCTTTCTCTACTCCTGCTCATCTATGATTATTTATGCCTTCAGGTTCTTATTCAAATACTCATTTTATTTTCTTTAATCTGTTAATTAATTATGTCTATCATCAGTTTTACTTTTATTTCATTTACTGTAATTATGTGTAACTAAATTAGTTTAGGCTTGCGTAAGATGTAATTTTTACTATTCATGTTCATATGATAATAATTGGTTAAAATTATTAATTGGTAATTTTAGGCGTGTTGGGTTGAATACTCTAATCTACTAAATACATTAATCATGGAAATGAATATTATCACGGGAGTGAAATTTCATTAAAAATCCATTTAGTTAATTCACGCACTAAATTATATTGCTACACGGAAGTGTTAAGAAATTTAAGATAATTTGATTTTGAATTTTTTACTGCCTTAATAAAATTACTGCGGGAGCGGAATTAATTTAAGATAGTGTAATCAACTAAGTCGTGGGAACGATTAGAAGATTACCATTTGTAAATCTTTCACACACCTAAAAGTAACCAAGTTAATTAGTTAAATCTTTATTATTTATGAACATCATAATAAATTTACTCTTAGCCCAAGCCTAATTTTCTCTATATCATTAATTGTTAAATTACCAAGTATTGTGATTTATTTTACTCATTTAGCAATTCTGTAATCATAAAAACAAAACAAACAAAGATCTGTTCACTTAGCTCCATTGCAAAATGTATCAATTTGTGATTAGCTAAAAATCGATCATTAATTCTAGTTCTCTTTTTGAGTCATTCTCTAGCGGAACGATACTCACTTACTCTATACTATATCGTTACAAGCCAATTAAAACATTATTTTTATTCACATTTTTACACCATTTCACACTACACATTTTGGCATGTCAAGTAGTAGTAATTAAATTTTATTTTTACGTAACTTAATTCTTTTTGTAACTTAAATTTTTATATTGATAAAACAAATAAATATTCATCTCAGCTATATCACATAGGACGTATGTATTCATAGACTTTTTTCAAACTAGTTACAAACAATGTAAATTAAGAATAGATACACACTTTTATCTCTTCCACATACTCATATAATTCAAGACATATTTGTTCATTATTATTTTCTTTATTTGTTCAAGTATGCTTGCATTTTTATGTATTATGTTTGATCCTTCCAACTTTTATGTCAATTTTAAATCAAATGACAAATTTTTAGTAAAAAAAACTAAAAAAACCGAATTCGAACTGAAACAAACCGAACCAATCAAACCGTGGTTCCTAGTTTTGGAGTGTAAAACCGAACCGAAACCGAACCGAACTTTTACTTTGGTTCCGTATTTGGTTTTAGGTCAAAACCAAACCGAACGAACTGAACCCACCCCTAAGGTCACACACTCAATAAAAGTGTCATATAAATACATCTACTTATAAAAAGCAATCAGATGAGTCCTAATGACCTGTTGACAACCCTAACCTTATCATCCCGGTTTTAGCGTACACTTGGCTATCTTTTTAAAATTGATTATAAAACTGACGTGAAATATTTGGCCAAGATTGGCATAAATACAAAACAAAAATAATGACACGTAAGCGAAAATCGGGATTAGGAGGTTGTCAACGGGTCCTTTTGACTTATTCAATTGCTTTTTATATGTAGACATATTTATATAACACTTTATTGAGTACATAGACCTTATATGAAGGTTCCGTAATAGTAGAAAGTTTTATTTGACCTTTTTTCCCTAACATAAATAAACACTCATGCTTTCCCATATATGAAAGCCTTAATTCTTGCAAATTGTCATTACCCCAATGAAATTTAAGTTTCATCTTCAATGAAGACACAATGACAAATAATTTGGGTGTCAGCTCTAATATAAGAGTTATT